GGACTATTCTACCAAGACTTAATACAAACTATCTATATAATGGACTTGATGCAAAGTTAAAAACGTAATACAGAGATTATATGAATATGATCCACACTCTTATGGAAATGATTAATACAGAGATGTATCTACACAGCCAGGCAAAAAGGTGGCCACACTCCGAGCCTGGCCTTCCCCCCATACCACCCAACCACCTTCCCCCCATACCACCCAACCACCTGCCCTGAGTCCTCCACTCCAATCCCCTCTCCTGAGCCCCCTCACACCTCACAACCCCCTATACAGAGTCCTGCACCCCCCTCATGCTCTGCACCCTTGCCCTGAGCTCCCCCACCTGCCTTCATTCCTGCATCCCACCCCGAGGCCTTCTCACCTCTCAACCCCTTGCCCTGATTCTGCACCCCCTACATTCCCAACCTCTGCCCTGAGCCCAGTGTGCCCTGTAAGCTGAGCGCTTGGGCAGCCACCCAGGAGAGATTCAAGTGTTGCCCACCTGGTTAGCAGAGTGCCCATAGTGTTTCACAGCCAGCAGCATGTGTTTCTATTGGTGGTGTACATGTGCACAGGCCTTGGCACACAACAAAATTTATTCCACACATGGATGGAAAAAAATTAGAGGGAACCCTGCCTGAGACACCGGTCTTGTGCCCTGAGCTCCCCCACATCCACATGCACCACTGCCCCGAGTCCCCAGCACTTCATCCTACACTTACATTTCTTACACCTACTGTCCTATCATAACTGCCCACCAACCACCTGTCCTGACCCCCTTACCAAAGGGGGTTTGCAATAAGACTACCAGTAAGAAATTTAAGAAACAACCAATGGTCTGGTAGCACTTTATAGACTAACAAAACATGTAGATGGTATCATGAGCTTTTGTGGGCATAGCCCACTTCTTCAGATGACCGGAGTATTGAGTTTAGGATGTGCAAACCCAAAATAAATAGGGGAGAAGGGGTGGGGGGGGGAAGGAAGAGGGAGGTGCTTTCCAGCCATAAAGTACTTAAATTTAACATCTTTGTGGGGAGGATACCAAGAAGCTCACCGTGGTAATATTTAACTTCCAAAAGGGAAGACTACAGAAAAATGAGCTTTTTGAATGGAAATAAAATGAATAATCACAATAGTGAAATACTTAAGGATAATGGAGAGAAGCATAAATTCTGGCAAGTCAAGTTAAAAGTATGATTAGACAGGCCAAAAAGAATCTGAAGACCAGCTAGCCAAAGACACAAAATGTGACAGGATTTTTGTAAAGTACCCCGGAAGCAGGATACCTGCCAAACAGTCAGTGAGGCCCCTGGATAGGCAGGCTGCTAAGGAAACACTCAAGACAGAATGCCATTGAGGAGAAGCTAATTGTAGACTTTGCACTGATCTTCCCTGCAGAGCATGTGAGGGTGATTCCCACACTTGAGCCATTCTTTCTCCTTGACAGGTGGCATTCAGCCAAGAGCTCTATAGGAATTTAAATATGACATTTATCAGAAGGGGATGCATCTGATGACGGACGTGTTTGCCCAAGAACACTTATGCGCAAATAAATCTTTTAGGGCACGTCTACACAATGGGACTAAACTCGAAATAAGCTACGCAACTTGAGCTATGCTAATTGCATAGCTCAAGTCAAAATAGCTTATTTTGTCTACACAGCAGTTATTTCGAGACAGAGCACTCTTCCCCCGACTTCCTTTCTCCTCATACAATGAGGGTTACAGGAGTTGGAGTAAACAGTCCTCCAGCTCAACATTATTTCAACATTATGTCAAAATAACTGCTTGTGTATAGATGCAGACTGTGTTATTTCGGAATAACATCAGTTATTCCAAACTAACAATGCTATGTAGACATAGCCTTAGTCTTTAAGGTGCCACAGGACTCTGCATTGTTTTTGTAAATATGACACTGCAGAACAACTAACTGTGGGATGTGTGTCACCTATTGCTTAAATCAACCTCTTTACCAGATAACTAATGCAAATGCAATTTTTAAAAAAAGCTACTCGTTTTGGCAGGCTTTTTCACTTTTAATTTAACTGATCCTCTCTGAAGGAAGCAGAGCCACAAACCAGGGATAGGAAGAGGTGGATGGGTGGATATTAAGTCCCAATGTGCAAGTGCCCTACGCAGCTGCATATTCTGTCCTATGGGTAAGGACAGTCCTGTGTTGCATGAAGAAATGCTTCCTTTGGTTGTTTTAAAACTACTGCCTATTCATTCCATTTGGTATCCCCTAGTTCTTGTGTTCTGAGAAGGAGTAAATAGCATTTCTTTATTTACTTTCTCCACAGGAGTCATGATTTTACAGACCTCTATCATATTCCCGTTAGTCGTTATTCATCTCTTTCCCAAGCTGAAAAGTCCCAACTGTATTAATTTCTCCTCATATGGAAGCTGTTTCATACCACTAATCATTTTCCAATTCCAATATATCTTGAGAAGGAATGACCACATCTGCACATAGTATTCAAGATGTGGGCGAACCATGGATTTATATAGAGGCAATATGATATTTTCTGCCTTATTATTTATTCCTTTCTTAATGATTCTGAACATTCTATTTGCTTTTTTTGACTGCCATTGCACAGCCTGTAAATGTTTTCAAAGAACTATCCACAATGATTTCAAGATCTTTCTCTAGAGCAGCAACAGCTAATTTAGACCCCTTCATTTTACAAATCCGGTTGGGATTATGTCTTCCAATGTGCATTATTTTGCATTTATCAACTTTGAATTTTAGCTGCCATTTTGTTGCCCAATCACCCAGTTTTATGAGATCCCTTTGTAGCTGTTTGCAGTCTGCTTTGGACTTAACTACCTTCAGGAGTTTTGTAATGTTGGCTCTTCACAGTTTACTCCTTTTTCCAGATCATTTATGACTATGATAAATAGGGTTGGTCCCAGTACATACCCCTGGGCACCCCACTAGTTACCTCCGCTTCATTCTGAAAAATGACCATTTGTTCCTCCCTTTTGTTTCCCATCTTAACTAGTTACCATGAGGAGACCTTCCATCTTATCCCATGACAGCTTAGTGAGGAAAGCCTTTGGTGAGCGACCTTATCAAATACTTTCTGAAAATCTAAGTACACTGTACTCATAGACACACAGGAAGGGTTGGCAGTGGCAGCCCCTCTCTTGCTGCAGCACGGGTAGGAGGAAAGGCCACAATTCAGCTGTAGTGATCCTGGCCCGGCCCATTGTCCAGCTACTACTGCCCGGGTGAGGCAGCCCAGCCCTGGCCAAGTAAGGTAATCCACCCCCATTCTCTACTTCCCATCCCCAGCACCCTGCTCTGCCTCCTGCCCCTCCCACACACCCAGCACCCTGCCCTGAGCCCCTCTTGCATCCCCACATCCACAAACTGCACCCCCAGCAGCAGAAGTCCCGTTAAATAAAGTCTGTGAGGACATTTCATTTATGCTAATATTAATCATCATGTCAATTAATTAAGTTGTGTATTTTCAGTCATGCAAATGGGTATTCTTACATACTGGCTCTTTGTTGACCACTTGTTCTGAATTTTGATCTAGTTTGGCTCTTTGGTTTGACAAGGCTGCCAGCTCCTGCAACAAGTCCCTTTGTAACAAGCCCAGTTTGAATTTTGAATTTTGACTAACAAGTTCTCAAGCAGCAGTTTTCTTGCTTTCCCTAGCTATAAATAATGTAATTATTGCTGCTGGCAATATTTCAGGGTGTGTGTCTACTGTGAAATCAACAGCTAATTTCTAAGTTATTTACAAAACAAAAAAACCCTGGAGATTTCAGGTGCCTAACTATCCTCTGGAATCCCCGTTTAAATTGCCTCCCCCATCCCCACCCCAATCTGAAATGGCCCCCTGGCAAGTCAGGAGTGGCCAGAGGGCTGCAAGGGGACCATGGGAGCAGGCAAGATGCAGCCCCCATCTGACAGTATGGAGCTCGCCTTGAGCTGCAGGCCAAGCACCAGGCATAAAGGGATCTGCCTACCTGTCACAATAATCCCAACTACACGTATAAAATCAGCTCTCCCCACTCAAGAAAGAGGTTTTGGAGCCTTGTGGAGAGTTCTCTAAACATCTGCTCAATGTTCAGCAGCAGTCAAAAAGGCAAACTGTGTTAGGGCCCATTCAGAGAGGGATAGAAAATAAGACAGAAAATATATTTAAATCCATGGCATGCCCGCATCTCCAGAAGGTATATTAGAATTGAAACAAGTACAGACAAGGGGGAAATTATTAGGGGTTTGGAAGTTTCCATATGAGGAGAGATTAAAAACACTGACTCTGTTTAGCTTAGAAAAGAGATGACCAATGGGACGTATGATCAAGGTCTATTAATCATGGCTGGTGTGGTAGAAGGGAAGTGTTATTTACCCATGCACATAACAACTAGGGTCACCCAAAGCAATCAATGGGCAGCAGGTTTAAAGCAAACATAAGGAAGTACTTCTTCAGTTCACCTGTGGAACTCATTGTCAGAGGATGTGTGCAGGCCAAAAGTACAACTGGGGTAAAAAACATTAGGGCTACATCTATACTACAAACCTCTTGCAGAAGAGCAAATCAAATGGAGTGCTCATTTGCATGGGTCACACTCTCATTTGCATTTCCTCTTCCTTTCCCTTTTGCGCAAGTGGATTTTGCACAAAAAAGTGCTGTGTAGATGGCGCCTTTTTATGCAAAACCCCTCTTTTGCACAAGAGCCATTCTTCCTCATTTTTTGAGGAACTAGAGCACAGAAAGGTGGGGAACTAGAGCACAAAAAAGAATAAGGGACTTGCCCAGCATCACAGAGGAAGTGTGCCTCAGAGCCAGGAATTGACATGTTCAACTGTTATTAGCCTGCATCTTTGATGGCCTCATTCCCTATCTCCTTGGCTTCCAGAGTGAGAAATACTCAAGCCATCCCAGACCTTGGCCAATAAAACTTTTACTCATTCTCTCCCTGCCATATATGTCATAGCTAGCCAGCGGTGGGTGGGTAGATACAGTATATAAAAGTACACATGCCTAGCTATCATGTTTCAGCATAATAGTTTTATTGGCATTATTCTGGCTGTCTCACTCCCAGCTGCTGGAGTGGGGTGTAAATTATGCTGGCCATGCCAGACGGCTGCTGATCAGCCCTTTCCTCTTCCTGCACATGCCACAGACCAGCCGTTTCAGGAACGTTAGCAGCCATTCTTCAGCCAGGATGGGTTGTTGGTGTCTCAGGGAAGCCAGGTGTCACATTTATCTACCCACGAAGGGTTCCCGGGGAGAACTGGGTGAAATGCGCCAGTAACCTGGGGGGTGGGGAATGCACATGGGACTGGGAAGCCAGATGCTCCAAGTTCTAGCTTTTGTGCTTCAGTTTGCCCTTTTGTGAAATGGGGGCAATATTTGCCTTAGTTCACTGAAGCATCGGGGTCTCTGCTATAGAACAGGGTAAATGCTGCTCCAGGTGCTGGTTCTCGGAGGAGCAGGGTAGAGTCTCTGATTCTTGGGAGCGCAGATACCAGATAGTCCCAGTGCAGGTCATTCTCTGGGCTTGGCTTCGGTGACAAGCAACTTCCTCTTCAGCACTGAGCAACATGCCTCCAGCAGGGTAACAGCCTGCCCTGAACAGGGGAGGCAGGTTTGTACAATTTTTGGTGATGCCCCATTAGCCACACCCCCTGACCTCTGTTAACCATGCCCCAACTCCCATTAGCCACACCCCCTGACCTCCATTAACCACGCCTCCGGCCCCCGTTAACCATGCCCCTAGCCCCTCTTAAGCAGGCCTCTGGAGGTAACACGACCTCTGTTAACCCCATGCCCCAACTCCCATTAGCCACACCCCCTGACCTCTGTTAACCATGCCCCAACTCCCATTAGCCACACCCCCTGACCTCTGTTAACCATGCCCCAACTCCCATTAGCCACACCCCCTGACCTCTGTTAACCATGCCCCAACTCCCATTAGCCACACCCCCTGACCTCTGTTAACCATGCCCCAACTCCCATTAGCCACACCCCCTGACCTCTGTTAACCATGCCCCAACTCCCATTAGCCACACCCCCTGACCTCCATTAACCACGCCTCCGGCCCCCGTTAACCATGCCCCTAGCCCCTCTTAAGCAGGCCTCTGGAGGTAACACGCTCGGGGCAAGATGGACACATAACCAGAAGTAAAAGGTGTCATGTCACCCCTCTTGAAGGACTTTTCCCACCATCCTCCTACCAACAGGGATTAGTTTGGCCCCCACTAAACCCCCCTCATGCAACTATCCTGCAATTGCATTAACCCAACGTGTGTGACATTAACTCGGGGACAGAGAGGCTGGGGGAAGTGTTCCCTCTAAGGCTAAGTCTACACTCGTGGTTCTTGCACAAGTATAGCCGTTCCTGCGCAAGAATCCACAGAGCATCCACACTGCCTGCTTGCTCTTGTGCGAGGAAATTTACAGTACGACGTGGTAAGAGAGGGTGTCTTGCGCAAGAGCTGCTCTCTTTTCTAACAGAGAGGGCAAGAGGGCAGTGTGGATGCTCGGCAGGGATTTCTTGTGCAAGAAACCCCTATGGCTAAAATGGCCATTGGAGCTTTCTTGCGCAAGAGAGTGTCCACACTGCCATGGATGCTCTTGCGCAAAAGCACAGCTCACACATGGCAGTGTGGACGTGTTCATGTGCAAGACTTCTTGCACAAGAACCCTTGCGCAAGAAGCCACCAGTGTAGACATAGCCTAAGAGTTTCCTTCCATGAGCAGAATGAATTTTGTGTTGTGCACCAGTACTGAGTTCATGTGGCTTGTTTGGATGTGCCACTGTGGCACCTAAGTTATTAATAAATACTTTATAAACCTTTACCTCTTCTCTCTGCTGCCATGTCTCCTCCCCTTGCTCCATCAGCTCTCCTGGTAACTGCTGCCCCCTAACTCCTCACCCTCCTCTGCTGTCCTGACTCCTGCCCTTCTCACTGCCCTCAGCCCTCCTGAGACCTGCCCCCCTCCACCAGCCCTTCTCTCCCCTTTGTGCCCACTCCTCCAGTAGCCCCACTCTGATCATGTGAGCTACCCCTCCTCATCCCCTCTCCTAACACCTCCCTCTACACACCTTCCCTGCCTCTCTCCTCTGGTGCTGGTCCCTCCCCTGCAGGTGTCTGCCCTTCTGCTTCACCCCCAGAATCCCCTGGCACCTGCACCTTCCCTTAGCCCTGCACCCTCCTGGTGCCTCCCCCTTCCCTCACTGCCCCTGCCCCCTTTGCCCTCTTTTTCCCTGATGCCCAGCCCCTCACCACTCTCTGCCCCCATTCCCCTCATGCCCTTCTGTGCCCTCATGTGAGCTCACATGACTTGCTCCATCCCCATTTTTCTCATGCCCACCCCTTCTTTCAAACCTTCTCCCAGCACCTCCTCCTCCCCCCTCTAGCCTCCAATGCCCTTACCCTCTCCCCTCCCAGCATCACCCTGTCCCCCCTTCTACTGACACCTCCCCTCCTGCCCTTTTCCTCATTGTCTGCACTTGGCCTCCTGGCATTTCTCTCTCCTCCACGCTGTCCCTTGGTGCCTTCCCCTTTCTTTCCCCTCCCCTCCCCCTCCGCCTCCGCACAAGCCCCTTCCTCTCCCACCCCTCCCACTCCGCACAAGCCCCTTCCCCCTTTCCCTGCCGTGCCCTCCCCTCCCCTACCTTCTGCCTTCCACTGTGAGGGCCGGAGTCTGCGCTTGGGCTCCAGAAAGCCCCGGACTCTGAACCCGGAGCGAGGTCGCGCAGTGCAACACCGCCCCGAGCAGTTTTAAAATCACGGGCTGTGACATCACGTCACGCTCGGGCGTCTCCTCACTCACCAGTAAATACTGTGCATGGCAGCGGCAGTAGCAAGGGGGAGCTGGACTGAACACTGCAAATGGCAGGGACAATCTGGGGCCGGGAGGTGGGCGGAACGCGCAGGGGGGCCGGCAGGTGGGAGCCAGGGCCTGCTCCAGGCAGGGCCGGGGTAGAGACCCAGCCCCAAATATTGCTGAAGCAGGGCCCCCAGCTCTGAATATTGCTGGAGCATGGGCATCCCGAGCCCATATAACTCGCCGCCCATAGCCCTGAAGGTCCCTTTCTCTGCAGCCAGTAAACCAGCAAGGCTCTTATCCAGGCAGTAACATGTGGCTCCCACAGGAAGATTTGCTTGGCTGGCCCCTTCTGCTGACTCCCGGCTGTTGGACTTACCAAAGTGCACAAGAGGAGTCAGCCTTCTGCTGTATGTTCATCAGCAGGGAGGGCGGCCCTCCACACCCGCCAGCGAGTTCACACTAGAGCAGGGGTGAGCAATAAATAAACCACAGCCCACAGGGTTAGTGCTTGGTGGGCCACTGCCACTGTGTTTACCTGTGCCTCTGCAGGATCGCAACTCTGGTTGGCCGCAAATCGCCATTCGCAGCCAATCAAGTGGCAAGTGCCACAGACTGGGACACCGCTTCACGCCGCTCGCATTGGCCTCAAACGGCGATTTGTGGCCAAGCAGAGCGGTGATCCTCCAATACCTGCTGCGGAGGTGCAGGTAAACATGGAGATGGGGGCCTGCCAGGGACTAACCCTGCGGATGGGATCCAGCCCATGGGTTGGAATTTGCTCACCCCTGCACTAGAGCCACATTCTGTCAAAGCCACAAGTTCCACCTGCGTCAGGCATCCCAGCTAAGGGCCCCCCCTCCTGACTGACTTCTGCAAAAGGCTCCGGTCTCAACAAATGGATATTTTCTGACCAACAAGGACACAAACAAAAAGCATCTGGTGTCTAAAATGGGCACCCCAAAACTGAAGCAAGTGATGTGGGAATGTGGGAATCAGCTCTTGGTTTTCCACTCACTGCTGGTGTGGGCCTCGCCTCAGCTCCTCTGACTAGAGCCCATCTGCACTAGCCTCAAGTGCAGCAGGCCAGGAGTGCGATGCACTGGCAGAGCGGAGCAGCGGGGGTGGGGTGCCTATTGGTGAGTCCCAAGGGGGTTTCATAGAACTTGGAATGGGGAGCAGGGACTAAGCCTGGGAGTCGCAGGTCAGGGGCCTGCAGGCCTGCATGGGGGCCCATGATGGCAGTAGCAGGGATGCTGCAGGGTAGGAATGAGGCCCTCAGGCAGAGCTGATTGGGACCCATGCCTGGAACATCAGGAGCACTGCCCTTCAGGCCTGAGGTGTTTTGGCAAAGCCGTGTGTGTGGGATGCTCACACAGACAGCGCCTGCCTGCACTGTGTCTGGATCAAGTCAGGGCTCTGAATCCCCCTTCAAGAGCAATACATTCTCTCACTAATCTTACTGGACAGGAAAGAGCTAGAAATGCTATTTGCAGCTTGTGGGCTCTGCATTGTATTAAACATCTTCCAAGCAAACCTAGTGACTCTCAGATAATTCGGAGGCCCAGGCAGTTCAAGAAAAGGAGCTTTTGCCAGATGATGTTTCATAAAAAAAAAAAATCCCTCCAGCCATTTTCTAGTTCTTCCTATTTATGTGGCCCTGCGGCAGACAGCTCCCCGCACCCCCTCGTCTGCTGTTGGTATTTGTGCAGTCGGGCTGACGTCACTGCTCTATACCTGGCTAGTGTCTAAAAAATCCCAATCAGTGAAGGCTGCACACACACACATGCAGCATAGTCACACCTACACGTGCACATAATCACAGGCACACATGAGTGCCCACAGATATGATCACACAACTGCACACACAGTCACATGACTATGGACCCACAACTGAACACAGCCATAATCACACACTCCTAACTGCATGCCCACGCACACACAAGTGCACATAGTCACACAGGAATACACTCACGTGAGGGGATCTGCGAATTGTCCCTGACCCTTCCGCAAAATGTTTCCATGGGAGCATTATTGTACTTGAATCAGCTGTGCTTCATGAATGGAATTGGTGGTGCAGGGACAAGGAGGGTAGCCCTGAGAGTAGGATATTTGATTAGCATCCAGCCAAGCAAGCTGTGCATTGTCTTCCTGGCTCCATAACTGGCCAGCTGTGAGATGCTGATCAAGTCACTGCAATGCTGAGGTTCTCACCAGTAAAATGGAGCTAATGATTTGAAAAGTGCTTTGTGACAAGAGCACTTGTCACAAATTTGTTAATGATGGGAGGGGCTACTGGTCTCTCCTTGTCCTCATGCAATGCAAGGATCAGAGCACACCAGCCCTGTGCCAGGCAGGTGTGCAAAGCAAGAGAGTCCTTGCAGGATATTATATCTGGCTCAGATACATTAGTTTAAACTAGATTCTGACAGGCTGAAACCGAATGGAAATACGCTGCTCTGAACAGAAATAAGAATGCCCCTATAGGAGCTTGCACCAGTGTGACAAAAGGGCTGTGTCTAGACTGGCATGATTTTCCAGAAATGCTTTTAACCGAAAAGATTTCCATTAAAAACATTTTCGGAACAGAGTGTCTAGATTGGCACAGACGCTTTTCCGCAAAAGCACTTTTTGTGGAAAAGCGTCCGTGGCCAATCTAGACGCGCTTTTCCGCAAAAAAGCCCCGATTGCAATTTTCACGATCGGGGCTTTTTTGCAGAAAACAAATCAGAGCTGTCTACACTGGCTGCGCCCGAATGGGAGCAGCATAGTATTTCCGCAAAAACACTGACAATCTTGCATGAGATCGTCAGTGCTTTTGCGGAAATTCAAGCGGCCAGTGTAGACAGCAAGTTTTTCCGGAAAAGCGGCTGATTTTCCGGAAAAACTGGCCAGTGTAGACACAGCCAAGCAGTTTAAAAGCTGCACCTCTTGTTCAACTGGTGCAACTTTCTCATGTAGACAAGGCTCTGCCAGGAGGTCCTGCACCTTTCTTCCTGATGACTGAGTTTTAAGGTCAATGGGAATCTTTCCATTGACCTAACTCTGGCCCTTCTTCCATAGAGTCCCATGGATTCCAGGGAGCAGGATGCAGCTCTTTGGCCTTCCTAGTCTGAAGGTTCTCCTCTTTCTGCAGTAATGCCTCCAGTGAGTTTGCCTGTCTGGCTAGCAATTACCCAGCCTGCACGTCACATGGGCAGTAATCAGAAGCATGTGTCTTGTCTCTGGGCTGCTGAGACACCCAGGCCGTGGCAGACGTGAGCCTTCCCTCTCCCAGAGGCTGTGGAGGGTGAGGAGTGGACATGTTAGAGTGAGGGGGAGGATCTCCTGCCACTTTGTAATGCCGGTCATCTGGGACATGGCTGATGTGGCTGTTGGGCTGCTTCGCTTTGGAGTGACGAATGGTTCTGTCACATGCACACACACAACATCACACACACACACACACGCACCACTAGCAAGGCGAAACAAATGCTTCACTCGCCTGGCTGCCTCTCCTCTCCCGCGGGTTTGGAGAGCGAGGAAGAGATGTTTACATTCATCAGGCTGACAGGCCCACCATGCACTTTGAACTAGAAACTGCTTCTTCCCAGAGCTGGAGCAACCCTGCACCCCACGGAGGAGGAGGGATTGAGCCAATGTCAGCGAGGGTGCTCAGGGCTCAAGGGTAGAAACTCAGGTAGATTTTGTTCCTGGCTTCCCAGGTTTAATCTGTGGCAGGTTCCAGACCAGCAGCTGGCAGAAATATTCTGCAGAGTGCATTTCCGTTTGGAGGGGAAAAGGTTAAAGCACCAGGGAGGCTGAGCTCTCCTCCTACCCTGCCAATGTCAGCACAGTTGGAACGGCCCAGAGCTGAACATCAGATTAGGAAAGGTGTGTTCTAATTGCGGGGAGTGTGCTGGGCTGCCCCTCAGCTGGAGCGAGTGTACAGGAGGAGTGCACTTCCCCTGGCCGATCCCTGCCTGCAGGAACTACAGGACAAAGCCGGTCACACAACACCCGGGGATTAGCCGCAGGAGAAACTTGGAAAGCCATCCCAGCCTAGAATTTTGTTCCTATGTAATGTCCATGACGGTGGCAGCATGAGGAAAACAGCACAATCAGGTGAGTAAAGCAGGCCCTGGCTGCTGGGTGTTCTCATATCAGTCAGCTGGGCTCTGTGCGTGTGCATGTGTGTGTGTGCATGTGTGTGTGTACAAAACCAACACAAACATCAGTATGGCATGCACAAGCCCCTCTTGCACCAGTTCTCTCACCGGAGGAGAGCAGCTGTTTTACCAGCCTGCTTGAAATGCCTGTGAATGCCACTCCTAGGGCCTACCTGCCATTTGTGACAGCACGCGCCAGGAGGAACGGCAGAGACAGTCAGCGTGGAACAAAGAGGGACACAAAAAAGCAAAGCTTGCCTCAGGTACCAGCTGCACATCCTGTGGGAAGGGACTCTGAATGCATGTGGGCTGTGATCCGAACGAACCAGAGCTATTGAGGGAGGGGGGTTCTGAGTCAGCGCCCCCGTCCCAGCCTGCTAATTTTTAAAAAAACTTCCATTCCCCAGCTGTGCTCAAAGTCAGCCCAAGCTCTTTCACACTCGCTTCTCTGGGGACACCATTGTAGGTCACCACTCATTGTAGTGGTGCTGCAGCTACTTAGTCCTGCCAAGGTCATCGTCTGCCTCCTGGGTGCTGAGTCACCAGCTGAGGAGATGCCGCCCAAAGTTAGTGCTCCTACTACCCCCTCATCTTCAGCTTTCCCATTAAAGCAGAGCCCTGTAAGCTCCATGAATGCCTCATGCTGGGAAGTTCTGAAAGAGTTTCTGCTCCACTGCTCACAAAGAGCTGCTGCAGGGCCAAAGTGAGGGGGTGGCTACAGTCAGCATGGACTCCTGACACTTCCTAGAAGGTGAAACTAATAAATCACTGGAATTAAGTGATCACTGGGTGGTAGGAGGATAGGTCTCCCGGAAAGGTCAATCATTTACCTAACTGACTCACTGAAGGTAGGTTCTCTGCTAGCACATAGTACAGTGGCATACTTCCCGTCTACCGCTGGCCCACTCAGCAGCCTGTGACTTTAAATTCCTTAAGCCTAATTCTGCTCTCACTTACACCCTTGCTAACCCAGTGACTGCAGAGGGCAGGCAGGCTGCAGAGTGTGGGCTGTAGTCCACATACATAGCTCTTCCAAGCAGCCTGAGTCAAATGTTTGTGCACCGCAGAGCATGTTAGCTTCTTTGCTGGCATTTCATAACTCTTTGGAGTGGCTAAACTGAACCATGACTTATTAAAGCCACAGAACGGCCAGTTTGAATCTTCTCGGTGGCTTGCATGATCTCATAAACCACAGGGGCAAGCTGAACTCAGTGCTTTGCCTTCAGAGCACCACAATGAAAATGCCTGGGACTACTCCAGTGCCTGCTTGCTTGTGTTTTTAATTGTTCTTTCATAACATTACTGTTGTGAATTGTCTTGAACTCCTGCCCGCTAAAATATATATCATACAGGTGTTAGTCAGACTGTTCTGGTGGTTTTATTATGACTTTACATGTTGGGGCCCATAGCCTGTGAAAGTATTATTTATATGGCACCATGACAAAGCGTGTCGTTTAGACAGGCTATTGCCCTGGGCAACTTTACAAGCTACAATACAGCAAGAGATGGCAGGAGGGCAATAGCAGTGAATACTGTTCCTGAGTGTAAAAAAGCAGGGCAGGAGTGTGTTTCACACGGGAATTTGATAGGAACGTGTAAGCTGCGTCTAGACTGGCATGATTTTGCGCAAATACTTTTAACAAGAAAGTTTTTCCATTAAAAGTATTTGCACAAGAGAGCATCTATACTGGCATGTGCCTTTGCACAAAGGATTTGCTTTTGCGCAAAAGCATCCGTGCCAGTGTAGATGCTCTCTTGCGCAAGAAAGCTCCGATGGCCATTTTAGCCATCAGGCTTTCTTGTGCAAGAAATTAATGTGGCTGTCTACACTGGCCTCTTGCGCAAGAATACTTGCACAAGAATACTTGCACAAGAGGGCTTATCCCTGAGCTGGCATGTCGGAGTATTTGCTCAAGAACCACTGATTTTGTACATTACAAAGTCAGTGTTCTTGAGCAAATACTCGCGGCCAGTGTAGACAGGCGGCAAGATTTTTGCGCAAAATCATGCCAGTCTAGACGCACCCGTAGTGTATACAAGGTGAAGGGTTATTGCAAGGGTCGGGTGAGGGCAAAAGATATTTTGGCCTTGGAAAGGGTTCAGAAAAGGGCAACTAAAATGATTAGGGGTTTGGAACGGGTCCCATATGAGGAGAAGTTAAAGCGACTGGGACTTTTCAGTTTAGAAAAGAGGAGACTGAGGGGGGATATGATAGAGGTCTATAAAATCATGAGTGGTGTGGAGAGGGCCGATAAAGAAAAGTTATTTATTAGTTCCCTAAATAGAAGAACTAGAGGTCACCAAATGAAATTAATGGGTAGCAGGTTTAAAACGAATAAAAGAAAGTTCTTCACACAGCGTGTAGTCAACCTGTGGAACTCCTTGCCAGAGGAGGCTGTGAAGGCTAGGACTATAATAGAGTTTAAAGAGACGCTAGATAATTTCATGGAGGTTAGGTCCATAAAAGGCTATTAGCCAGGGGATAAAATGGTGTCCTTGGCCTCTGTTTGTCAGAGGCTGGAGAAAGATGGCAGGAGACAAATCGCTTGATCATTGTCTTCGGTTCACCCTCTCTGGGGCACCTGGTGCTGGCCACTGTCGGTAGACAGGATACTGGGCTAGATGGACCTTTGGTCTGACCCAGTACAGCCGTTCTTATGTTCTGAAGTTGCAAAGGCTGGGATGGGAGAAGGGATTAGTAATACCTCTCTGTTCTTAAAAATAATGGGCAAGGTCCTTAGCTGGTGTAAACTGGCCCATCTCCATTGCAGCCCATACTGATTTATCTCTGTAAAGATCTGGTCCAATAGATCTTATGTGAGGTTGGGCAGCTAACAATGGCAAAACCTGGCAGACGGGTACCCCAGTGATAGGCCCATTAGAAATGCATATCTAGAAAGCCTCCTGAAGCCTCCTGATGCCACCCAAATACTAGCCAACACGTATGTTCTAAAGTGCACAACATGACTGAATATGAGCATCACAGGTTTTAATCCCTTACCTTAAGAAGCCTTGTTGTTGTCCAATGACTTGAAATTGCAGCTGCTTGCTATTGAGGTTGGGTGTCCTGGACTGTCATGTTTGCTTTCTACTGATATGTGGTGGAGTAAAACTGAGTGACAGCAAATCCCCTGGCATTAGTGAGATGTGTGTATTTCATAAGACTGCCCCAGTAAGCACAGTTCCAATAAGTACAGTATGGCTTGGCTTTGACATTTGTTAGTACCTTTCACCTGGAAGGAACTCAAGCTGTGTTTTGGAAACACATCATCTCTCATAAGAGATGCAGCCACTTCTGGGCTGAAATGTGGTGGTGTTTAACATAGGAAGGGAAGATTATATTGTCCAACTGAAACCACAAGAAGAAGATTAGGGAGACAGCATGTAATTGCATGGGTTGGAATTTGTCCTGAATACTAGGGCTGACATCCCCCACTTCTGTTCTCCCAATGCACTGGCGTCAATTTTTAGTAGAGGAGGTGGAGAAAGCAACTAGGGGAGAGACTGTTCTAGATGTGAGTATGACAAATAGGTAGGAACTGGTTGAGAACGTGAAGATGAAAGCCAGTTTTGGTGAAAGTGACCGCGATATGCTAGAATTCATGGTTCTAATGAATGGGGGAGGGAAAATAGCAGAATAAAGACAAAGGAGTTCAAGAAGGCAGACTTTAGCAAACTCAGATAATTGGCAGGTAAGATCCTGTGGGAAGCAAGTCTAAGGAAAAAGTTGTTCAAAGAAGTGATAGTTTTTAAGAGAGACGTTATTAAAAGCACAAGAACAGACTAACCAAATGCAGAGGAAAGATGGGAAGCCTGGTAAGAGACCTACTTGGCTTAATAAGGAAATATTCAGTGACCTGAAGCTCAAAAAAGGACATGTGAAAAGTGGAAACTAGATCACGTTATGAAGGGTGAAGATAAAAAACCCACAAGCATGTAAGGACATAATTAGAAAGGCACAAAACAAAATTAGGGACCAAAGATAACATGAAAGGGTCTGTCTACACTAGCCCCCTAGTTCAAACTAGGGAGGCTAATGTAGGCATTCAAAGTTGCAAATCAAGCCCAGGATATTTAAATATCCCGGGCTTCATTTGCATCTTCCCGGGTGCCACCATTTTTAAATGTCCCTTAGTCGGAACTCCGTGCCCGCAGCTACACGCGGCACGGAGTAGGTAGTTCGAATTAGGATCTCTGATTCGAACTACCGGTACACCTCGGTCCCCGGTGATCCTGGTACTGGCTGCAGGCATGGGGCCTCTTAGCTCCCAGCCAATGGGAGCTGAGCTGCCCTGTGCCTGCAGCCAGCATGTCCCTCAGCCCACGCTGGCGCCGACTAGCTGGGACTGGAAGACTCTACACTGGAGTCGGCTTATAAATGGGTCATTGACATTTTTTTTCTGTGAGTTCGGGAGCTCACTTAGGAATGAACGGGCTTTGGTTAGAGTATACACAGTACAATACTCACTAGAGGGAGGCCAAGGACAGAGTAGGTCGGGTGGGCAATGAAAAACAGCAGCTCACCAAGGTTAGTCCCTGACAGGCCACCGCCACTATGTTTACCTGCACCTTTGCAGGTATCAGATGATCGCAGATCTCATTGCCTGTGGATGGCCACTGCAAGTGGAGGGAAGGTGGCATGAACCAGGACACCATTTCCTGCTGCTTGCATTGGCCATGAATGGAGATTCGCAGCCAACAAGACCTGCAATCATCTGATACCTGCAGAAGTGCAAGTAAACATAGTGGCAGTGGCCTGCCAGGGATTAACCCTGTGGATTGGATCCAGCCTGTGGGCAGGAATTTGCCCACCCATACAGTAAGCTCTTTATTCAATGCAGAAGGAAAGACAATGCAACAAACACAACTGTGACTGAAGGATTAAATATCTTATTTTGTTTTAGTTTTTGTCAAAAAGGGTAGCAGTGATCAGGAAAATAATATAGTGAGCGTCTG